GCGGAGCTCGGCGGATCCGGAGGACGCTAGGGGGCCTGCGTGTGTGTGCTCTCCGCGGTGCGTTCCCGGAAAAGACCGCGCGGGCCTGGGCCCGGAGGGCGGCGGGGGCGGGAAAGTTTAGGCTCCCGCGAAGTGGCGGTCGCCAGCGTTTGGCGGGGGCGCGGGCCGGTCCTAACTGAGCCGTCTCCTTCGTGTGCAGAGACCGTGCTGGGCGAGCACCCCCAGATCCGCTGCAATGCCGAGGACCCCACCGCTTGTAGGGTGCCCCGCAGGAAAAGACTACACGTTAGAGGGTCACATCGCCAGCGACAGAGTAGGTCCACACACCTGTAAGTGTAGGGGAACTCCCTCAGCGTGTGTGTGTGTGTGTGTGTGTGTGCAACAGGAAATTCGGGACACGGCCCGCCCAGCCCCTTCTCCCCTGTCCCCAAGACGTCCCTCCAGACACCTTCCAAACCCAGCGTTTCAAAAACCACACACTTTCTGGTCAAATGTATGTGATTTTCTTTTCTCTCAACCACCAGCTTCCAAAGGGTCCCTCTGCTCATGGACTTACTGGAAGTGTGATCAGTTTTCTTGAATGGACTCTGGGTTTAGGGCAAAAATTAGACATTTTCTTTGAATCTTCGCTTGTCCCCCCCCCTTTTTTTTTTATTTTTTTTTTTTTTTTTTTTATAAAAGGGCGAGGGCCCTTTGTTCAGTCAAAATGTTTGCCCCAAGATCTCCTCCAGCTTGCTACTTCCTAATCATTGTTTTCCTACTTTTGCTTCTTGGGAGTCTTATGATGGTAGGAAAGTATTTTGAGTTTGGTAAATATTTGAAGTAAGTGATCATGGGTCTTTCTTAACTCTTTGTGCTCCTGGTACCCTAACACACATAACTTAAGAGATGGAAAAGTAGGCAGACAGTGAAGACAAAGTGATCACTACCCCCTGATGAGACAGAGCAGTTGAACTCAAGGAGGTGACATTTTAATGCACAGTTTTCTGATACTTGTCACCAACATTTCTGTGCAAGCAAGATAGCCTGTGGTCTCCTCCTAAGACGAGCTCCTGAATATCCCTTGTGAGTGTGCTCCTGGAGAAAGCTGTGCAAAACTTCTCTTGTTAGTTTCTTGAGAGAAGCACTTTTGAAACGCTCCTGGGAGAAGAGGGGGAACATGTTTATTTTATTCATCATTGTGTGTGTGTGTGTGTGTGTGTGTGTGTGCAACAGGAAATTCGGGACACGGCCCGCCCAGCCCCTTCTCCCCTGTCCCCAAGACGTCCCTCCAGACACCTTCCAAACCCAGCGTTTCAAAAACCACACACTTTCTGGTCAAATGTATGTGATTTTCTTTTCTCTCAACCACCAGCTTCCAAAGGGTCCCTCTGCTCATGGACTTACTGGAAGTGTGATCAGTTTTCTTGAATGGACTCTGGGTTTAGGGCAAAAATTAGACATTTTCTTTGAATCTTCGCTTGTCCCCCCCCCTTTTTTTTTAAGTTTATTTAGTTCTGTCATAAGCAGAGGGAGAGAGGCAGCACTCTCGGCAGAGTCTACTCTGATCCACCTCCCCAACCTCAGGCAGCCCTGGGTCATGGCCTCCTGGCCTGGCAGACTCAGGGAGTAGCTTGAACCAGCATCTTCTGGGTGGGATCTCTTCAGAGATCTTTTACTGCCCACCATATCTGGCCCCCTCATTTGAACCTTTGTGCCCCCATCCGATCTTAAATACTGTCATTTCTTTCTTAAAATTTTATGCCGTTTTCCACTCTCCTGAGTCCACTCAGGTCCTACTCATTCTCGTCTTTTGCTTGGAAAACAACAGACTCTCACTGCTCTGCTGCCTCTCACATTGTGACCTCTAATCCCTCAGTCACACAGCACCCAAGGTGATCTTTAAAACAATGACCAGATTGGGTACTCAACTTGTTTAAAACTCCACTGGCTCTCTATCATACTTGGGATAAAATCCGAAAATCCTTATGATTTCTAAGGTCCTACACAATCTAGCTGCTGACAGCCCCTCTGATCACATCTCTGTGACACAGTGACATAGTTGGCTATTTCAGCCACACGACCCTTCTTTGTTGCCCCTCCAGAAAGCCAAATTCATCCCCGCCTTTGGACGTTACACTTGCTTTTTCCTGCTCTTTCGGATCTTCAGATGTCACGTCCCTGCACATCACACAACTCTCTGCTCAAGTGTTCGTCTCCCCACCGGTACTATTTCCTGTTCATTTTCTTTTTTTCATTCATTTAATAATATTGACTGAAGGTTGGCCTGTAGCTTAGTGGTTAAGAGAGCCACATTCCACATGGCCGATAGTGGTTTGAATCCTGAACCCGGAGACTTGAAGAACATGCTGGGCACGTGTGTGTGCGTGCCACAAATCCTGACAGGATGGAGAAGTGGAGGAGAAGGGATTGGAGTGTGAACATGTCCCACTCAGGGGGTTCTTTCTCCCTTTCTTCCTCTCTCCATCTGTCTCCCTCTGGTGAATACATACCCATCTGACAAAAAATATATGTTGATTAATTGAGCACCTGCCCTCTGCTGTCAGTATTAGCTAGAGGAGGACCAAACGCCTGTCCCCACAAGGTTACATTCTAGTTGAGACAATGGACGAATAAGTGAATTTACTGTATGCCAAATAGTGATGAACGTAAAGCCAGGCTGGCTCTGTGGCCTACTGGGTAAGGGTGCTGGACCCCACTTGGCCAGCTGTAGTTCAAATCCCAGCCCCAACAGCTTGAAAATTACACTGCCCCATGCATGCAAATCCTGACAGGACAGGGAAATGGAAGAGAAAAGATTGTGGTGTGACCGTGCCCCATTGGGGGCTGCTTTTCTCCTCTGCCTCTTTCTCTCTGGTGAGCACATGTAACTTCTAGCAAAAAATAAATAAATAAGTGAAAGTTGATAGTTAGGCATTGTGGTGGCTTAAGGTGGCTGGATCCCACAGGCTGGCTGCATGGTTTGAGTCTGGACCCGGAAGCTTGAAGAACATGCTGGGCATGTGTGTGTGTGCATGCCCAGAATCCCTAGAGGAGGGTGGAGGAGAGGGAATGTGGTGTTGTCATTCCCCCTGAGGAGCACTTTCTTGCTTTCTCTCTCTCTCTCTCTTTCTCCCTGTCTCTCTGGCAAGGACATGTACACTATAGCACATTTTTAAAAAGTAAAGCCGATGAAAGGATATAGTAAGTAGCTAGCCAGAGAGAGAGACAGACAGACAGACAGACTGAAGGCGAGAAATCACCCCCCGTGGGTGGCCATGCTGCAATCCCTTCTCCTCCATCCTCCTCTTGGGATTTTGGGCATGCGAGCACATGCGCCTGGAGTGAATTGTAAGTCACTGGATCCAGGACTCTAACTGTGGTCCACTATGTGGGAGTCCAGGGATGTAACCATTACACCCTCTGCTGGCCCTGCTGAATACATTTTTTAACAAATAGATACATAAATGAATAAATAAGCACATTGATAAAATAAGTGTATTGATAAAAAAAAAAAAAGGAAGGTCTTATTAATGTATGACATTTGAAAAGAAGTCTTGGGCCAGCAGGTGGCATGGTGGTTAAGGGTGCTGAACTCCCACATGGCCAAACCATGGTTCGAGTCCTAGACCTGGTGCCTTGCTTTCTCACTTTCTTTCTCTCTTTGTCCCTCTCTGGTCAAATTAAAATAAATAAATAAATGAACAAATGAATAAATAAAATTAAATAATTCTTTTTTAATAAAAGAAAAGAGATCTCAAGGGACTGAGAGCCCTTGATACAGTAGATACATTACGTTGTCAGGAAGTTATGATGGGGTTTTCTATGCAAAAATGCGTTGTGACTTCATCAATGACCCAGTATCTTCTTTTTTTTAAATTTTTTTTTTTTTAAGTTTTTGCTATAGGGTGCCTAAGCTTGCCAGAGAGAGAAAGAGAGAGGGGAAAGTGAGAAATCACCCCCTGAGGAGAATGGATACCCCACAATCTCTTCTCGTCCATCCTCTATTCTCTTGAGATTTGGGACATGTATGCACACACACATACACACACAGACACACACGCGCATGTGCGCCTGGTGTTTCCTGGGCCACCATGTCTGGAATATGAACCGCACACTCGGTTCTGTGGGATCCAGCTGCCTGCACCACCATGCCACCTGGCTGGCCCCAGACTTGATATATTTTCAAAATTCTCTGAAGTATTGCTTGTGGGTGTAAGTCAGAAGCCAAGGATGACTTCGGGGTTTAGGTTCAATGACCGTATGAACAGAGTAGCTATTTACTGAGATGAGGAAAACCTCAGGGGGTGGGGAGGGGGCGGAGGGGGCGGGAGTCGGCTGTCTTGATTTAGACATGTTGGGTTTGAGATCCTGTTAGCATCTA